GTTGGCTTGGCTATGTATGCACCATCATAATCTCTCTGAAAACACATTACAATAGGTGTGAGTCCTGATATTGAAATGTTAAATTTTTTTCCAGACTAATGGACTGTCAGCAATCATGCTGTGCAATAGCTTAGCTCAAGGCTGCTGTAAGAAACGGGGTAGAGTACCATTTCTGATGCTACTGTGCAGCAGTGACATTGACTGAGCAAAAGTCTCTCCCTACGCAAGCCTCTACTTACATCATAATTACAGATGGAAATTCAGACACTCATTTCTATATTAGAATGTTAGTGCTGCAGAAATGCTTTATATATGCAAAAATGACACCTAGTTCTTCTAAAACTTGTATAAAAAAAAAACAAGTGACTTCTGCTAAGCATACATTATGTGCCAAGAACTGACCTGAGCATGTCATTTAAAATGCATTACACTCTCCCTCTGTCTTCATCTCTATTGCTTATAATTGTTTCATCTCCATTGTAGCAGTGAACAAATTAGGAAAAAATAATTCTAAGGTCTACAAAATAGTAAGATTACTATTATCTATGCATGTATATATGTATGTACGTATCTATCATCTATCTGTCCATTTATTTATTATCTACCTATCTATACATATATTACTATAAATAGAACAGTTTGTGATTGCCAACATACAGAGATAATTAGCATAACAAGAAAAGTCAATACTGGTCATGTCTCAATCTTGGAGAGTCAAAAGACCTACAAGGGGGATGTGGGAGGTGCTAGGGGACATAATGTGAGAGAGATGAGTAGATTTCTCTATGTCAGTTTGTTGAAACTTGCACAGAGAAGCAACTCAACTCACAGAAGTGAACTCAATTAAATTCTTTAGTAACTTTAAGAATTCAGTAAGAGGATTATAGTTACAGAAAGAATAGTCAGCAAGCAAGGGTTGGAATTCTGACAATAGAAGCTAAAACTCATACTTGCTTCAAGCCTAAGTGGCTGTTTTTGGCTTCGGTTTTTTTAAAGAACTTTTTATGAGAGGAAGTTTATAAATAGCAGTATAAATATGTAATACCTGAATATATCCAAATTATTTATATTTTTATGTGGATGTCCTTAAGAGGATTATAGTGAGGTAAAAGCTGTCATAAGTCTTGCTATTCTCTTTTTGAAAGTTGAAAGTGGTGAAGAAATTGTATTCAACATGCCAAAATGTACTATGCTAATAAACAGAAAGTTGACTAGTAACAATAAAAAGTGTCCCTTTAGCAGATGGCTAAGATAACCGAGTGGTACCATTTGAATAGGAAAAACAAAATAGAAAATAGAGAAATAGGCAAGGGAGGCAAGGGGAGCCCTCTACAGACACTGGGACCATTAGAAAGGAAGATTGAATGAAAACATGCAGAAGCTCTCTTGGCTTGGGGGGAATTCTGGAGTCCAGAAAGCTTCAAAGGCAATGCTCCAGGCAAAATAGCACACAGACAAGACTGTGTGCCAGCAGAAAGCGTGCAGGGAATGGATGGGAAGGTAAGCGTAGGCAAGGGAGAACAAGGCAAAGGAGGCTAGCATTAAAAATCCCTTATGATTTCAGGACTGACCACCTGACATATATAATACAGAGATGGTTTTGGTCAAGAATAGGTGTATAAATATATGCATATAATGCCTATTACTAAAACAAAATGTCATCAAATTTGAAGGAGAATGGGAAGAAGTATACAGGAGGATTTGGAGGGGGGAGGAGGATGGGAGAAATGTAATCATTATAATTTCAAAAATTAAAGAAATAAAATCCTTAATTAGAGGGCTGAGTGTCATATGTGTGGAAAAAATCTCTGTATTTAACCATCAGAAATGTTGTCATGTATCAAGATTATGAGAAATCTGTGCCCAAAAAACAACTGGGAGCAGGGTAACCATCACCGATGCATAAAGAAAGAAAGCAACTGAATACCCACATCTTGCCATAGTTTCAGTCCATACAATACTCTTTGGTGGGAAGGAGAGTTTGTTGCAGTATTTATGGAGCTGACAAGATGGCTCAGTGTTTAACGATATGTGCTGCTTAATCAACAGGAGCACAGTTCAGATCCCATAACCTACCCAGGTTGTTTCACAGACCCCTGTGAACCCCTGTAACTCTAGCTCTGGCACCTGACACCGGAGCCTCAAGGGTATGTGCACGTTTGTGTACGCACATTCTCACAAGTGCACACAGACACGCGCAGATATATAAGTAAAAAGTATAAGTAGGTTGACATTTATATTTCAGTTTTTGCGGTCTACCACATAGTTAATACAGCCAAACTGACTTAGCTTGAAGTACTACAATATAATACACATGAACAGGGAACAGGACAGCAGCCTACCACAGAGAGCCTCTTGCCGGAGCCAGCCAGCAGCCAGCAGAGTCCAACGGTTCTTGAGTCGGGAGTGAGGATTATTATTATTTAAATAAACACACAGCACACAGGAAACTTTTTTAAAGGTCCAGACTCGACAGCCACAGCAAAAGGCAGGCTGCTGCAGCAAGCAGTGCAAGCAGCAAGCCTCAAGTCTCTGCCTCCACCCCTCTGTTTCCTAACATTTAGATTTCCCACATTATATTTGCTTTTTGTGAAATCTTAGGTCTGGTTCATGCTCCAAGTCCTCCAAGATCTCTCCTCCAGCTCTGCCCTCCTCGTGCTTTCTCCTCCTGCTTTCTAGCTCCTCCCCTCTTTCCTGTCCTCTGGCTCCTCCCATTGCACAACATTGTATCTAGTTGCTTTATTTGTGTCCTGTTTACACAAGAGTCAGCCTTCTTCTGCAGTAACTGTGGGCCTGTCTTTTTATTGTAGAGTTTCTAAGCCAGAGTAGCAACATCTCAGAACAATGGTTAATTTCCAGGAGGAGTCTGAGGAAGAGGTGTGATCCTCACAAGCTATCCTACCTGCTGTCACAAACAAAAGGAGATGGGCTTGCAAATTCTACCCTCCCTTTAGAGAAGGTCCGGTAAAGCAGTCTCTAGGCTGAGAATTAAATATCAAAGCAGCTGCCAGAGGCACCGCTCCCGACAGCCTCTGTAAAACTTTACTGATCAGGGCATCAAAGCTGATGCTGAGACTCATAGCCAAAATTTGGGCAGAGTGCAGGGAATCTTATGAAAGAAGGTGTAGATAATAAGATCTGGAGGGGACAGGAGCTCCACAAGGAGAACAACAGAACCAAAAATATCTGGGCCCATGGGTCCCTGCAGAGACCGATACTCCAATGAAGGACCCTGCATGGATATAACCTAGAACCCCTGCTCAGATGTAGCCCATGGCAGCTCAGTGTCCATGTGGGTTCCCTAGTAAGAGGAAGAGGGGCTGTCTCTGACATGAACTCAGTGGCTGGCTCTTTGGTCACCTCTCCCTGGCGGGTGGGTGTGAGTGTGGGGGTGCAACCTTTCCAGGCCACAAAAGAAGATGATGCAGGCAGTCCTGATGAGACCTGATAGGCTAGGATCAGATGCAAGGGGAGGAGGACCCCCCCTAACAGGGAACAGGGGAGGGATATGGGGGGGTGGGAAGGGGGAGAGAGGGTGGGACTGGGAAGAGACAAGGGAGAGGGCCACGGCTGGGATACAAAGTTTAAAAATTTTAATAAATAAATAAAAACTTGGGGGCAATGGCAATGTCCTTTTACCTTGGTGCTAGGTCATTTGAAACATGCATGTGGCCACTGGTTCACTCCAGTACACACACACACACCCATACACAGAGAGAAGAAAATTTTGGTAGATTTGCAGGAAGTTGGAAAAACAGTAGAAACTTCTACCTTCTCATCCAATTTTCCTCAAGTCATATCGTACGTGACTGCACTGTGCTGTCAAGGCCAGGAAGGTGACATCAATCCTTGTCTGTATGTAGCTTCATGCCAGTTAACAGCTTCATGAATTGCTCATCATACCATCAAGGTACAGGACTGGTCCATTACAACAAAGACCTCTTTATAGTCATGTATCCTTGATCCTTACCTATCAGCAATCGCCAATAATATTTTCCACATTAAAAAATTTTGTTATTTCAAGAATGTGATCTAAGATAAACCAGAATATGAAACTTTTTGAAACAAAAATTTTGCACTTAGAATAAGAGCCTACGACACTTTTGTTTAGATGCTGTTACATGTTTCAATTTTTACCCTTTTTTGTCTTTCAATTACTTTTCTTTTATATTTTATTATAATATTATATGTAACATATAATATTATAAATATTCCATAATTTGGATCAAGTTTTCACTTATTTAAGAATATCTTGGTCAATTGTAGTTTTGTGTCACTACAAATGAAACTGCAGTGAACTTCTGTGATAAAGATTTTGTGATATGGGTTTTAATAAATCTATGTCACAGAGATTTAGGTGACAAACGCTCCATAGGAACCCTGCTTCTCATACTCTATTCAGTTGTCCAAACCAGGACATATTTGCTTCATGTCTTATGCCATTTTTCACTCTTCCACATTAGCTGTGTACAAACTTTTCTTCAGGTTGATTCAACAAGTAATGACGTAGTATGTGATTAGTTCTGGGAATAATATTAGTTTGAAAAATATATGCATGATAACTGTTTTTTTGCATCTTTTGTATACATCATTCACACAAACCATTGCTCTGCTGGGTACCAAGTCCCCAGTTGAATGCTGAGGCACAGGGCCTGGCCCACATGGATTCTCTGAAATGTTGTGGGTTTGGTATACAGTTGGTGTGGTTCTTTATGTTAGCTGGCTTCAGAGATCATCAATTTTAATTTCAAATCAAGATCATGTAATTTATATGGAGATACGTAAATGTGTATTACCAAGTGTAAATTTCCTGAAAACCGGGGGCTGCTCTTCTTTGCCCTTTCACAGGGAAACAGCTGAGAACATTCACACATGCAAAGTCTACGCTTGCAAGGTGCGTGTTCGTATCTTGTAAATAAGGGTGAGGTTTGGGTGAGCTCCGGCTTGTGCAGCAGTGGGTAATTTTCTCCATTCATTCTGCTTCTCCTTTCTCTGAACAGCATGAAAAAGTAATCAGCCGTCCAAAGAGTACCAAAAGAGTATCTACAGACCCTCTAGGTAAGGAATCTTGGCTTTGTCCTTGTCAGACTACTTTTTATTGTTGTATAGTTAATGAATGTCTGGGTCCTTTTATACTAAAAAAAAAAAAAAAAATGGGAGAGTGACACCACCATTGCTTGAAGGCTACCAATAGACTTATTTGGGAATTCATGTACATACAACCCCAAACAGCATTTGCAAATGTACCTGTAAATAAGCTTACCCTGAAATTCACAGAAATATGAGCTTTAGAAAGTATTCTGGTCAGATTGGCCAGTTTTGTAAGTACACTGTAGTTTTGCACTATTGCAAAATTGTTCGACTCCAACTCTGACCTTCAGTTGTTGATATCTTAGTATTGTCAGTTCAGTGTCACTTAGGTGTCAGTAGATGTGAAAACGAGGTGTATATTCCTTTGAAATAAGAGAGTAGGTTCCATAGGGCAATGCTGAGCGCTTTACAAGCTGAGCCACCAGGCAAAGATTTGCTTGTGGTTATTCATACTTAGTCAGTTTGCATATTAAGTTTGTAGCCACCTAACAAAGGTACACATTTCAGATAGGATTTGACCCTTATATTTTAGCTTTTAAATATGTTATTTAATGATGTTAAATCTATTAATTCTTTAACATGTGCTCGTCAAAGGCATCAATTTATTATGCATACTTTATCAGGTCCACCAGGAATGGAAGAGAACCCTGATTAGCAGTCCTTGTGGATTAGCACAGAAAAGGCAGGCACTCTTGAGCTGCACCGGAGAGAGAGCAGGAATAAATTTCAGTATTGTATATACTTTATGCATATATATACTTTATCAAGTGTGCACTTTTAAAAAGAGAGCAGCTGAAGTTTACAAACCTGAAGTAAACAAAATCTCAGAGTTTATCAACGTTAACTTTTAAAGAAGTTGGTGTTCAAATAAAAGCATAACAGCTGCTATTGTCAATGACCATCAGATTGTAGAGTTGCCCAGTGTTGTTCCTTAGGTGTGTTAAGAAGTTCCAGGTATCATCAGGGCTTCAGATGGAAGGATGATCATACGAGGGATGAGGGATTAGACTTGGGTTGTTGACCTGTCCCATGGACAGCAGGGCTAAGTCTGGAAGATGGAAGGATCTGAGTGGGGTCACAGCAGGGCACTCCAGGCCTGAGCTCAAGAGTAATGCAAACAAAGCACGTCTCACTCTTATTATTAAAGCAAGTAAAACATGGGGTGATGTTTACAGGTAGTTTAGGCAAATACAAGGTAGGGTGCTATACCCTGTTTTTTTTGGTCATGTGAAAAGAACCAAGAATATTCCTCCCATGCCTTTGCCTTTCTCTCGGGGATTCATGTGGACATGCCAGGGCATTCCCTCCATATCTATGCTTTCAATAATTCACTTATCATGAATTACAAAAATCTTTTGAGAAGGTTAACTTCTGGGAGGAACATTCTGCACAGTGCCCCATCCATAGTTCACTGTGTCTTACACAGCCTCCCCTAGTAAGAAACTATAAATAAAACATTTGAAAATTTAAAATGCCAAATTAGGGAGCTTAAATGATGGAAGAGCCTTTTGAGAGACTTATGAAAAGGGACTAATAAGATCAGATCAAACCTCAATCTCTTATTAGTTGTTCAAAAACGAAAATGAGCCAAAATTAAGAGCCAGAATATGAATGAGAATCCTAATTTTGGGCAAGAAGATAGACCATTGTGGTGGTCACTCTGTCACACCACCAATGCTGTGGCAAAATAACTGAAGAAATCGGTTTAAAAGTAAGCAAAGGGGCCTGGAGAAATGGCTCGGTGCTCTTGAAAAGGAGCTTGGTTTAGCTGCCAGCACCCACGTGTCGTTCACAAGCACCGGGAACACGTTGCAGGAAATCTGATCACCCTTTTTGCTTTCTCTGGGCACGAGCGCACATGGTGCGTATACACACACACAGGCAAAACACTAGTTCACATAACACAAAGTAAAGACGTAGAAAATATCTAAAACCTATTTTGGCTCAGTTTTGCTATGACTTTCTGGCAGTAGAGTGCATCCTGCTGGGAGGATTTGGCACAGTAGTCCTGTTCAGCTCATCCCATCGGGAAAAGACAGAGGAAAAGGGAAGACCACAAAATTACAGTGCTCCGCACACTAGAAATTAGACCCAGTGACCTGTTTTTTCTCACAAGGCTCCACCTTCTAAAAATTCTACCATCTTCAAATAGTACTATAGGCCAAGAGACATGGGCACTTGGGGGACAATAGTCAAAATCCAGTCTACGGCAAGAATGATTATAGTAGGTCAACAAGGCTGGAAAACAGAAGAAATATTTATGATCTGTAAAGTTGAGACAGCTAAGCACAACATTTGTAAAATAGGCTTTGAGAAATTTAAATAATATCTGGTGTTTTAGCTTACTCAACCAAACTACCACATTGAAATACAAAGAGGAAACCAAATAGATCAAAAGCCAAATAGCTGGAAAGAAGGAAAGGCCAAAGGTGATGTTTTAAATTTATAAATATGACATCTCAGTTACGTGTTTTATAGCCATAGAGATAAATTCATTTCTCAGAAAGAGATGAACATTTCAGATGTTTTATAGTACATTCAAGAAAAAACAAAGATAAAGATAAAATTATAGAAGGTGTGAAGTATGTTACATAGGGACAGAGGTAAGTAAGCATATATAAGAATGCATAATTTATTGAGGAGAGACATAAGAAATATAAAATATAAAATATAAATATAAAGTATATATATATATATATAATATAAAAATGGGTTGGCAAGATGTATATTATCACGTGTACAATTATTCTCACAAGTACACCACACACAGATATTAAAGAAATATTACATTTAGAAAAAGAAACTGACATGGGAAGGCTCCACTGAGTCACATGGGGAGATAGTTAACAAAGGGAGGAGAGAAAAGAAGAAGAAAAAAAGAAAAGAAGAAAAGAAGAAAACTGTGAAACCATGAAATACTACTACTAATAATAGTGATAATAAACAATGATATGATCCACGGGTATCATAGAAGATACAGACTAAGAACCAGTTGCTGTAAGTAGCAACCAGAATGCCTCGAGGATGGGTTGAGTAATTGCCTTACCTAGAATGTTAAACAGAGCTCCAAAGCAAAGATGCAATAGTGTATTTTTTAAAGGAGAAGCACCGTAGTTTGACATAGCATCAAAATCAAGGTGAGTGGAGCTCTGAGAATGCTTGAGAAAGAGTAGAAACAAAGCAAGGTAAAGAGACGAGGGGCAGATGTGAAAGGGGCAGATGTGAAAGGGGCAGATGTGAAAGGGGCACACATATGACAGCAAGGCGGGAGACAAAATCCAACCAACTGAGGGAGGAGACTGCGAGCAAGTGACTTCTAAGTGGAAGAGTTGACCAGAACCCACAAAAGCAGGTTTGGGTGACGTAGAAAAGCAAACACTGGCTGGGAATGGGTGACGTTGTGGCTTAATGGAAGAAGAAAGGATTCTTTGCTCCTTGGTAGAGAAAATTTTGAACTGAATTTAGGAAAAAAAAGATTTCTAAGTGGACTTGTCAGTATTTCAAATAGCATGAGCGATAGGAAGTAGCATGCCTCCTTGTAAACTAACACAGTTCTCATGACTCTCAAAAGCCCAGGATTAAAATTGAAAAACTGGAAACAATGAAGCTAAAGGGGAAACACGTTTTAAGACCGTCATGGATACAGAGAAGCGAGCCTACCAAGCAGGCCTGGTGCAGAGGCAGGCAGAACTCTGCAGGGCTGTGTGGCTTAAGGGGGATAGCTATTAGTCAAGGGTGGAGGTGTATACTAGGGAGGAGCAGATAAACCCGAGCCTTGGAAGTCGAGGGTGTAGAGGAAAGTGTGATGTTGAGAAACGTGGGCCACAGAGCAGGAGCCAGTTGGGTTGACCGAGAAGAGCAAGGTCTTCCCAGGCTGTAAATGGAGTGATAGTCTACAGCACGGTAGAGTGACTCCTGACCATGGGTCTGGCCCCGGTCTTGATCTTCAGCTATGCAAGGAAAGAAAAAAGAAAGAAATAGACAAACAAATAACAAAGAAAAGAAAAGTGAGGAGTGATTCCTATCTGTGGAGCAGAGAATAGTTAACCGCGAGTTAGCAGCGTGCTGATTTCAGGAGAAGGATGAGGGCCATGGAGAAAGGAAGGCCCATGAAGGCCCATGGACATAAAAATGAGTGCATTACCTGATGCTAGGAGAAGACTGTTTGGAAAACCAGAGAGGATGTATCAGCCCATTCTCCTAAGTAATCTTCAGAGTGCAATTTATGAAAGTAGCAGATGGTGAGAGTGATTGCGAAACGGGAAAACAGTGGCTGTGACGGAAGAGAGTGGGGCAAAGGGACTTTACTCAGAATGATAGTCTGAATTATACACCCAAACCAGCAAGGACAGGAAAATGAAGCCAGAAGTACAAGAGATGAATAGGGGGTTCCCAGGCTTGGTGGGGACTATGCTGACCGTATAGTCAAGATGCTTGCAGATCTAAATGGTGCAAAGGTCAGTGGAAATATTATTGTAAAAGACCTTTTATAGAGATGTACCCCGGCTACCCTGGCTTTGGTGGATATATATGTAATTACAGTCCCGTGAAAACTGACTAGCTGGTGTATTTATCCATCACATTAGTACCAATAAAGAGAAATACCTTTTTGGTACCTTTAAAACGTCCTGTAACATAGTGCTATTCAAACAGTGGTCAAGACTCCGGCAGATTCCGAGTGCCGTCCTTTCCCTAGTATCACTCAATCACACTGTGTGGGCGGGACATAAAATCACCTTAACAAGCCTAGGGACATTAGAAATGCTGAGCCTCCTCCTAGCTGGTATCCTCCCATGACCCTTGGTGTTCGCTGGCAGAGATTCAGCAGCCCGTGGGTAGCTTTCTTTCTCAGAGGCTAAGCCTGAGAGCAGGTACATTTCACGGCTTGCTGGTGAGGAGAGTTAAACGGGCACGTGCCTAAGCAAGCGTCCTAACCTGCCGTCCTTGCCTACCTTACCGTGCCCCCACAGAGGCCCTTTGGGATAACTTGCTTCACTGGCTGGCTGAGGAGCTGTCTGAAGAAGGCGTGGAGGTCCTCGGCGCCTCCCTCCCTCTGCGCCGCAGCACAGTGCAGCTCATCAGACTCAAGCACCCCGACGATCTGATAGAGCAGATCCACGAGCTGCTTTGCTTCTGGAAAAGAGCGCTCCCGACTTCCACGGACAAAATTCGCCTCCTGGCTCGCCATCTCCGCAAGATGGGCCGCGCTGACCTCGCCGAAGAGCTCAAGTTCAAGTGGGAGCATAAGGTGTTCACAGAGCCGCAGGCCTGGTTTGACGCCGCTGCCGAGTGAAGCTGTGCTCAGGCATGGCATGCCTCCTTACCCTTAGAAGCGCTCGCCGAGCGTCAGCCTCTCCGGCTACCGACTGAGGCTGTCCGAAGTAAGACTGTGTGATGGAGAATGACTCTGTAAAATTAAAGTAGTTGTTTCGTGACTTCAAGTAATCAGTTCCAGTTGCAGAGATGACAGAGGGCCACACGAGACAACGTGAGGTCAAGGGGCCATGATAAGCAGTGACAAGTCAGTTTTAGGAAACTGAAATTCTTAAAATAAATTCGAAGTCTGAAACCACTTCACCCACTCACTGAAGTAAGACTGGAGGGGGAGAGGAGAGTGAGTTATACCATATTCTTCTCTTCCTTCCTGTGGTCCTGCTTCTAAAGCTGTGACCCTCATCTAAACTCCTCTCCAAGATGCCACACTCCCCCGGGTTTTATAATTGGCTTTTCTTCTTTCTTTAGAACTGGAGCTGAGACCAGTTCCTTTCAGGTACAGCTGCACTATTCCTTTTCCTTCTCCCATGCGTTCTTTCTTCTATTAAGACAAGGACCCTTTAATTCTTCCTAATCTATCATACCGTCTTTTTCTTGTTGAGATCTCAGACAATACATCTCTGTACCATCACCTCACACTTGAGAAAACTGTCCACCTATATTTTACCAGAATGGGAGTGATGTATACTGTATGTAATTTATAGTGTCAGAAGTTACTGTCTTATTTAATTATATGCATTTTTCAATTCCTTTAAATGTTTTACATGAAAGTTCATCTCATAGCATAGTTAATTTTAGAGAATGTTTAAATAGAGAAATGTGACAGGCATTGAGTTTTTAATATAACTTTATGTTGTTGAAATGCACTCATGTTACTGAGTATGTCCATAGTTTGCTCATTTTTGCATTATTGCTCAATATTTTATTATAAAAATTATCGATATAGTCTTTGTTTGTTTGTTTGAGTCAGGGTTTCTTTGTGTAGCCCTGGATGCCCCAGAACTCACTTTGTAGTCCAGGCTAGCCCGAAACTCACAGAAATCCCTCTGCCTCTGCCTCCTAAGTGCTGGGGTTAAAGGTGAGCACCATCACCACTTAACACATTGTTTATATGTCCCTGTTGTAGATGGACAATGAAATAAATTCAACCAACAGATTGCCATATGCAGCCTTATAATAAAAGTTCTCTGTATACTTTCAGCATCTTTATATATACATAATTCATTCATTCTTTTACCTTAGAGTAGAATGGTAGACTTGCATAATTAATTTTATATGTGTTTTATACCAAACAGGTTAAGAATGATCTATCATTTACATTCATCACCAAGTTCACCAGTGTAAAAACCTACTATCAACATTATTCTGCCAATTATTAAGCACCTTGTTTGACAAATTAGACAAAATTAACCTTTATTATTCAAACTAACAAAACCTATGATGCTTAATCAGAGTCATCTTGAATAACTGGTTGTTTCTGAAGCAGAAAATTCTGAAGTGTTTCAGAGAGAAATAGAAAGATCTTAAATAAGCAATGTATGCTTTGAGAACGTCAATTCATTTTTCAAAAGAGTTATCTATTATGGGCAAAGGTCTAGTTTTCTAAACTACTACTTCTCATAAGGATGTTATGTTATTTTTAAGTGTAACCTGACCTGGCTCATGAATTTCAGGCCATTAAACATCTCTCCCTCTCCACACCATTGCTCAAAGTACCTCTGGAATCTATGGCTAGTAAGTTGTTTCCACCGAGTTCTCCCCATGAAGACAGAAGGGGGGTAAGAAGCTGAATGTGGTACGAAGCAGGCGACTGAATCAACCTTTGTTTGAGGTGGAATATGAATGGGGGGAGACGGAAATCTAAAAGACTTAGGTTCTGAAGGCTCCAAATTCAACTCTCTACCAGTGTTTTTAAAAAACTGATCTTTTTTGTTCAGAAAGATTTATTGTCAGTGAGGAGTCCAGAGCTGTACCATGCAGCATGAGGTTTATTGAAGGTACGGAGTCGTACTTCCCCACATTAAAAGGGCAGCTGTATGGGGGAAGAAGGAAATAGCAGTGAGGTCAATGTCAAGGCTGATGTGGGCAGGGGGATTCCCAGTAGCTTGGCCATGCATTGCTTCTGTAATTTAACCTCTCAGAAAGTCACAGCGTCCTCAGAGATGTCACATCAGTCATTTGATCCTTGACTCACAGCTTCTTCCAGTCTTCTCCCATAACTGCAGAGCTCGCTGGCAGCCCCATCCCCAGTTTATTACCTAACGCACTAAGTGCTTTGCTCTCTGGCTACCACTGTGTTCTTTTGGATCAGCACACCGTGCTGTGCACATACACAAGGCCAATCTCTCGTCTCTTGCTCGCTGATGTATTCCTCTCACACAGAACTCTGTCTCCTGTGGTGCATGCTCAGCTGTGATTGTTTCCCTCTGTGTTACTTATATAAGACAAGGAAATTGCAACTTGAGTTGGTGCTTAGAGGCACAGCTAAAGCTCAGTGTGGAAGATCCTGTTTCAGCTGTTCATGGTAGTGCTTGTGCTGCACACCAGTAACCTGGAGGCTGCGGCAGCACAGTGTCAATTCCAAGGCCACCCTAGGAACGTAGGAAGACCCTGCCTCACAACCAACCAAACAGACACAACAGACACAACACTAGAAGATTCTGTTTTCAAAGATTTTTTTTTCAACCCTGGGCTACTGCCGTAACTCTTCACCAGTCTTGTAGACCCTGAAATTTTGAAAATATTTTTTAGTTTCCCGAATTCCCGGATAGAATTAACGTTCAATGAACTCCATCGGTAAGTACAGCTATAACTTGTCTTTATACAATTACAATTATCTATTGGTGTCTATCTTCTCCCAATCAAGTTGTAGTGTTCTTGAGAACAACCCCTTGATTTTTGTCCATCAGTGGCTCTCAGTTTTGCCAAGAGCATGTCATATAATAAGCACTCAATTCTTACTGGATTAATGAATGAGAAAGTAACCTGAAAAACAAAAAGTAACATGAACATACTGACAGGTCATCTGGACTTTGATCTATCTTTCTCCTCAAGACAACTTTGTGAGGCAGGCATCATGTTTGAAAAGAGAAAAGTGGGCTCAGACTGTAGCAGTCATCCCCACCATTCAGCAAGGCACAGAAAAGCCAGCCACAAATTTAACAGGAGCCAATACTTCCCACACATCATAGCCATAAGGTGTCCCTCCACAAAGTGACTGCTGCTGCCTTACACACTGAGAAACGTTGTTCTCCAAAGTCATCCAATAGAGGAAAAATTTGTCACTTGAAATTGTATCAGTCAGGAAGAAATCTCTTTCTTGCCTGGAGGATTGAAACAACTTTGAGAGAGAAAAGCATTCTCCGTTTACAGCCAAGGTGCCGGCTTTTGTCCAGATAAGAGCCTCTGGATATAGTTCTGTGCATCCATCGCAGGTTTAATGTTACCGGAGAGGTCCATTCTTCACAGCAGACCTGACGCTGACCTTTGCACATGAGCTCTGTTTTGATTTGTGCCCACTGAAATAATAAACTAACTCCCATGTACTAAAATAACTCTGATTTTGTGTGACAGGACACAATCACCCCTTTGATATATGACCTCTTTAACTGAAATAAATCAGTGAACCCAATTTTGTTGTATTCCGGGTGATCCCCTGGTGATCCTTCCCAGTGTATGCCACCTGTATGATCCCCCTGCGATGCACAGAGTAGTTTTTAAACTAGCCTTGTATCAAATCAGCTTGTCCGATAGCTGATACATTTTTCTGATACATTTTACTTGGTCTGTCTTGCGTGGGCACTAGGAAGCACAGTGCCAATGTCCCTCACATGCAGCTAGGTTAGGAATCTTCCTTTCACAGTCAAATAGACTCATACAAACGTGAAACGGGTAGTAAAGTCAGTCTCCTAAGATGAAAACTTGGTTCTCTGAGTCAGTTTTGGACTGAGTGTAGTAATGATCCAGTCCCCCGGGTCATGCTTGTGCCTACAGAAGCTGAAGGGCATTGTCCACTGTATCCTACTTCCTGCCCAGAGCATGCTCTCAACTTTTAATTTTCGTGCTCAGCACTGGGCCAAGAGTCATAGGAGGGAAAAAACAAGACAGGGAAAGCTCTGTCTATGCTGACTACAAAGACTTTTTCCTTTGGAGAGGTCATTTGAGAAGATGTATCAGTTCACAAGGCAGAGCAGAGAGGAGCCCCGGCAGAGATAAGGCGGTGGAGTAGGGAAAGAACTCCTCACCCTGTCCTGGAACTAGAGAGAAACAGGTCTGCAGTGTTAAAGGAAGAGCTGGCTGTGCTCAGGCAGAGGGGCTGACCTCCCAGGAAGCTGGTTTTTACGTAGCTAAAGCGAATGAACATTTCAGTTGTTTCATTTTCAAAAATAAAAGTGTGCTCTGATGTTTGTGTGCCCACTAAAAGATTTAAAATACGGCACAGAGTTTTCAGACTTTTCTTAAATTCATCTGGGAACATTTGTACAGATACTGAGGGTCTCCGCATCCAAGTGACCCAAACCTCGGTACCACATCTGGAAACTTTCCTTTGGAACAGTCAATGCGAGTGTGTGATACAACCACAAGGGGGAACCCACGTCTCACACAAAATTGAGGATAAGCCCAAGACCTTAGAAAGAAATCCGTTTAAGTACTGAAAAAAATCTCGCCTGGTGCCTCAACAATAACATTTTAGAATAAAAGAAAGAATATGCCATATAGTCAGTATAAGTGTAATATTAATTTTAGTTAAATTCAGATCTAATGATAATGATAGTCTTAAAAGTGTAACACTCACTTGCTATTACAAACAAAATATACAGAAATTTTATGTTATAATGGACCTTGTGTTTCTCTAACCAAAGTGATTTAGGTGATAATGTAGTGTAGTATTTGTTATTGGAACAGTGTGCAACTTTTTGAATTTTCTGGGAATAGCAAAGAAAGTTATAATAGATGGCACTAAGAAATGAATATATACCAAACTCCGTTTAATGTCCAATAAATGTTTACTAACTGACTTGGTTCTTAGAAATCAAGAGTTAATCTGTAATTTTTTAAAGATTCTGAGCATATTCTGTTATTATGGTTTGGCAATGATGAAACTGGCTAACATCTATAAAATAAAATACATTTCTTATTATGACGTTAGTTTTATTTGATCGCGTGGTTTTTTAGTATACTATTTTCAGCTGTGATTTTATATTTCCTGAGATTAAATTCTAAGCAAAGCGGAGCACTGGTGCTCTTCTCACAATGCCTCTCACGACTGTAAACCAGTGCTATGGTGGCGGGCACGCTTGAAAAGACAGAGCGGAGTAACAGAAATACAACAGAGAAACAATGGTGGGTCAGCCTGCTTGCTGCCCCTGCTGGGCAGGACAACACGGTCCTGCCGACCCATGTCCTGCTTCGATAAGAGTTTCAAAGTGTACAATGACACGCGAGAGCACAGTTGAGTGAGAATTTTAGGACTACTGAATGGGTCTCTTCTGTTCCTTTCCTCCCTGCTTTGATCACAGCAGCGTGTCTGTAAGGGACGTTTCACTGGCCTCAGTGTTGAGGGGTGTAAGGGACTCACTACCCATGTACAATACATAGGAAATGTGTAGGATAAAGTATGAAAACGCCTTTTGTTGTAGCAGCCTGTCATTATCCCCATGGACTCAGTTGGAATCATTTATCAAGCATGAGGAAGAAAAATGTATGTTGGCTGTTAAGGCTCTGGGTTTTTGAGAAATGTTAAAAAAAAAATGGAGTAAACATGCGGGCTTTAGAAGTAAGACAAATAGAAG